GAGTTTGCCCTGCCTGCCCCGCCTTCAGGCCTCCCAATCAACATCAGGACAATAGCCTCTGACATCTGCAAGGGCACTGGGAGACTGTGGTGGACGCACATCATTTCGTCTGCCCAGCATCTCTGCTTCTGGAAAGTGACACCCCCTCATTCTGTGTTCCTTTTAGAGTGGGGTGTCCCTCTCTCCCCACCCCAGGCTTGAATAAGAGTCACAGCCTGGACACTTGCCACACTCTCAGGAAAGGGCCTCTCCTTCCCCCTGGGTTGGCTGACACTGACAGGTAAGCCTGAAGCCCAGCATCCGTCCCTAACGCCACTGGAGGAAAACCTGCCTCTGAGTGAAGTCCCAGGAGAGCAAGGAGCATTCCTGACAGTGTCACAAGAGCAGCTGGATCCGACCACGCCGAAACCCAAATATCTCTAGGGTTTTCAGCAACCTGACCCAATACGTTCCCCTTTCTGCTTAAGCCAGCTGTATTGGTTTCTGTCACCTGCAACCAAAAGAGACCTCACAAATGCAGGTCGTGTGGTCCGTACAACCTCACTGTGGAGAGGCAGGGCAGGCGTCCACACCCCGCATCAGCAGATAAGAAAAGTGAGGCTCTAAGAAGGGTCAGCAGTGTCCCCTGTGGCTCCCTCCCCGGGAGCCTGGCCTGCAGGCCACCGGCCCCAGCTCACCTCGGTGACCATGAAGAGCCCTATCAGGTAGCACGTGACGGCGATGGTGAGGATGAGGAGCTCCCGCCGCCCGCTCTTCCGGAGCTGCCTGGGGAACATGTCTACGGAGGCTGTCACCAGGCACTCCACACAGACAAACTGTGGGCCAGGAGGGGAACTGGATGAGAGGGTGTGGGGCAAGCTGGTGGCCACCGGCCCTGGCCTCCGCTTCCCCGGCTCATCCACATTGATGCACAGGGGTGCAGAGAGTGGCACAAAGGGAAGAAATGGGGGTGCCCGGGGGTGAGCCAGCTCCGCCCATGACTACAACTCCATGACAGAGTCTCAGCAGTGAGGGTTAGAAGGGGGATATGTTCTGTCCCCAGGGCTCAGGGGCTGGGGCTGGGCAGCTCGAGCTGAAGGACTATCTGGGAGGAAGCATCCATGCATGCCGAGGCCCACGCCTGGGAGCACAGAGCCAGTGGCCCCTTCACACCAGAGGGTCTCCAGGCTTGGGGCCACACTCCCAGCCCCAAGGAAAAGCCCTGGACAGCAGAGGGGGCCTCAAGTTTATGGTCAGGGGAGTGGGAGTGAGGGGAAAGTAGTGTCAGGACAGGCAGAGGCTGGCAAGAGGGTGACCATGGCAGGGCAGGCCAGGCGGCAGTGACGTACCTGGCTGTCCAGCCCTAGGAATATGAGCATGATGAAGAACAGGCAGGACCACAGTTGGGATAAGGGCATCATAGTCACAGCCTTGGGGAAGGCGATGAAGGCCAGCCCAGGACCTGCCAGGCACACAGCACAGTCAGGGGGGCTCCAGGGCATGCGCTGCCCTCGGGGAAGAGGCGTCTCTCTAAGCACTGTGTGCGTGTGTACCTGTGCACGCACTTTAAGAGGAAAGGGTGATTCCATCCACTATTCTTCTCTTTCCAGGCCTGGGAAGCACACCGTTCATCCAACCATCCATCTATCTATCTATCTAACCATCCATCCAACCATCCATCCATCCATCTATCTATCCATCCAACCATCCATCCCTCCATCCATTCCTCCATCCATCCCTCCATCCATCCATCCATCCATCCATCCATCCCTCCATCCATCCCTCCATCCATCCATCCCTCCATCCATCCCTCCATCCCTCCATCCATTCCTCCATCCATCCATCCATCCATCCATCCATCCATCCATCCATCCCTCCATCCATCCCTCCATCCATCCCTCCCTCCATCCATCCCTCCATCCATCCCTCCATCCCTCCATCCATCCATCCATCCATCCATCCATCTCTCCATCCATCCATCCATCCATCCATCCATCCATCCCTCCATCCCTCCATCCATCCCTCCATCCATCCATCCCTCCATCCATCCCTCCCTCCATCCATCCATCCATCCATCCATCCATCTCTCCATCCATCCATCCATCCCTCCATCCATCCCTCCATCCATCCCTCCATCCATCCATCCCTCCATCCATCCCTCCATCCATCCATCCATCCATCCATCCATCCATCCATCCCTCCATCCATCCCTCCATCCATCCATCCCTCCATCCATCCCTCCATCCATCCCTCCATCCATCCAACCATCCATCCATCCCT